ATAGGTCCCCCTTCCCCTCCTCTCTCGTTCTCTATCTCTCTCTTTCCCTCCACCCCTTCTCCCCCCCCCCCTCTCTCTCTCTCTCTCTCTCTCTCTCTCTCAACCCCTCTCTCCTCTTCTCCCCCTCTCTCTTTCTCTCCATCGCCCTCTCTCTATAGTGTCGGTTTGATATAGGCCTATACAGCTCTTTCTGCAATGTATTCATGATCATGTATTAAAAACTATATATGAAACTCATTATCATTATGATAAATATACGCGTTCTGCTCTTTACCCAATGCATACAACGACGAGTAATACCTCTAAGACTTCTCTGATAGATACTTTTTGACAAATGCGTACTTCTCTATCATAAGCTGTCCGTGTAAGAGCTGGGTTCCATAGGACTCGAATCGTAAACTTGCAACCATTCTTTCTCTCACAACCGGTGTTATATGTACAGACGAAAGTGTGTTGGCAATTAGAAAGGATGCGTCGACCGGTCTGATCAAACCCGGCCCCCCCACTCAGAGGTCGAAATGACCGCATGCGTGTTGCCAAAATGTCCGGTAAAGGGGTACTTTTCGTGCGACAAAGTCCGGCCCGAGAATTGTAAAAAAAGGGGTGTATTTGACTTTTCACCCGGAGATTTCTTTAAAAAGGGGGTGTTTTTCATTTTTTCTCTCATCTCTTTGAACTCCTGAGAAATTATTCCGAATTTAGGGGGGTACATTGAGCATTTTTCCTGATTTAGGGGGGTCTCCAAGGCAGAAAAAGCCCGCGAAAAGCCCGCGAAAGGGGGGTTCGGAAATGTTGGCAGTCCTCAGATAGGGGGTGCTTTTAAAAATAGGGTACGAGCATATGCGTACCCTAAATAACACTGAGTGGGGGGGGGGCCGGGGATCAAACAGAAGCTTGACATTTCGCTTTTCTTATTTCTGATTCTCTATTAATAGTGTCTTGTTCAAATACAATGCAAGCCAATAACAAATCGCGATCGATTTCATTGTTTGTTCTCGTGCAAAATAGCTCCCTGCTGCCAGTATGTTAATGTGGTCACTGAATGGGCGCATTTAAAACACTTTACATCAAGATAGCACACATACGATATAAATCTTCTTTCCAGGGTGCCTAAGACCACAAAATTCACTCGCCTTTCATTTCGTGTTTGCTATAATAATAGTGGTAGGCCTATTTGATAAGTGGACGGGTACAATCTATTTTTTTCACATGCGTTACCAAACATTATATTCAATTATATATGACTGTTTCAGGCTGATAACCCTACCTGTCAGAGCTTGAAACTGACAAAACATCAAATAAAGTGATATTTAAATGTAAATTAATGTCACATTTCCTCAAGAAAAATCTTGGTATGGTTCATACTTTGGACTTTACCTTTATCTTGTCATGACATTGTATTTCCAAGGTAGATATTCGGTTAACAGACGGCCACTGTTGCTATGTCGGGTAACACTTGGTTCATAACTATACTAGACACTCAACTATGTAGTTTGTATGAGGTCTGCTATATAGCGTCAAAAACAATGCAACACATTTTATGCTAATTCGTGAAGTAGTCTTATGTTGAATTTCTGACTTTTCATAAATACCATAAGAGGAACGTAACTTATAATATTTACATACCATAACCTTTTTCAAACATGTAGACACCCCCCCCCCCAAAAAAAAAGAAGAAGAAAGGAGACAATTTCAACATGCATCGTAACAATTCACTTGAACACCAACACCTATACACCCACACGCTCAATTCATTCACTATCACTCTACACTCTACAGAGTAGTTCCCACGACTGTATACGCAACTATAGAATGGGGGCTAATCTTTTATTTGAAAGAGTGTCTTGATATATTGAATGGGTTCCATCACTGCTATACAATCTGATGGGACTAGAAGCCCATCAAGTGCAGAACACAACTTGGTTTGACAAGGCAAAAGAGATTATTTCTTTTCAGAACTGTGCTGAGCGACGAAAATAAAGTGCATGTTAAAAGAATTACACTTTAAGCTTAAATGTCAATATGGAAAATGGTAATTTCTATAATGTTCACGCAGAAGACAACCAATTTGGCTAAATTTACCATTCAATATTATAAGAAATTTAAGTTATGTCATCCGCGCCTACACAAAATTTCAAACACAAGCTATGTCTATGAAACAATGCCCCTGCGCTTCTCGGGAACAAATCCTGATTAAAATTGGAGGAACTCACAGTGATTAAGAGTTAGTAATTACACTACTGTCAACGAATATATTATGCAAATGAAAAGTGCAGAGGCAAAACCAATAATTTGCATTGTTTTATTTTGAGCTCAGACTCATATTAAGGTCAGTTTGGGTGCATGCATGATTTTGATGACTATTCAATACGATTCATGATCATGTCTATAAAAGTGTATTCGTGCTGAAATCTCAAAGTATAAATACATGTAACACAACTCATTTGCCCATACTTGTTTCAAAAGTAAAGTTGGAAGTCTAAGGTTTCGATACAACCTCTTTGGGAGCCGTCAATTATATAGTTCCGCTGTCATCTTGGCAAACACAAGATCTATTGTCAACTGATTTGCTGTATAATTGCCACCCTTCCCAAAATAATCCCCATCCTCGACATGCTGGAAAGGATTTACATTCTTAGAAACCCTTTCCCCGCAATCTTGTCAGTCTTCCCAGCTTAAGGTTGACATATAGTACACTTTACCTTATACCTCTGTTACACCAAGGGGTGGTTACACTACCAAACCGACCCAAACCAAGCGATTCTTGGCTATTGGCCGTAATGTAAATTCTTGTTCGTTGTCTTGTTGGTCGGGTGTCGGTGTGACTGAGGTGTAAGTTTGGAGCTTATTGAGGAGTGTGGTGTTACAGAAAAGAAAAGGGTGTTCTATCTACATGTATATGGGTTCGGTTGGCTTCTGAAAGTGCTCCATCGTTAAATTAATTACATGTTGTGGGAGAATTATTGTAATTTGATTGCTAAAGTGTAATATCCTGAAACTAACAAAGCGAGGGGGATCTTCCAGAAAGAGGGAGGGGGGGGGGGGGAGTGAAATATTCCATGGTTGCTGCCCGCGTCTTTGCAAGTTTGGTTGATTTTATAATTCTGAGCCTACAAACGGGGGGGGGGGGGGGGTATATCAGGTCCATCCTATAATGGTTACGTCACTGATGTATCTCATAATGATTAACATCTCCATTTACAAGACAGTATTTAAAAAAAATTCCAAGCAAGTTTCAATTTGGGAATAAAATGCTGTCCCTGTCAATATTTATTTCGCCTTTCAAATGTATATGTCCGATTATGATAAAGATTACAAATTATCAAAACAACACTGCATTCGAGCTGCAATCAGAAATTAGTCCTACCTCTCTTTAGGTTTGCTAGGAGAGGTATTTGAATGATGGGTAAATTTTCAGGGTGACACCACGTACTTCTTTCGAGGTGTAACCCATCTAACTACATGGTGCATTAGACCCTGAAGACTTTACTTATAACACAGTTTCATTCTCACCATGAATTTTTATTTTTCTGATACTTAACTCATGAAACGTATTTGATTGTACTTACTTAAATGGTGCCGTTTTGAAGATGTAGGGATCGGGAAGGTTTTCTCCGAACGTAAGATCTTCCAGGTCACTGCTTCCATCAAACCCAACCAGTCTCTGAGTATGCCTTGCCCGATATTCCGCCATGTATCGGCTCGTATCATCATAGAAACGAAATGGCTGACCGTCCTTCTGAGTCTGCCTGTTGCTATGGTGACAATAAAAGTGATAATAATGATAGTTAATTATTATAATGATTGTATACGAACAAAAGATAGCTCTGCATTACGAACTTGCATCAGATATCTGTGATATACTCAGAGTACTCTGACCCCGCCCCACAACCCAAAAGACCTACATTTTCAAGGTGATATTGATATTTTCAAGTAGAAAATTGATGTAGTTGAATTGTTGATAACTTGAAAAATAAAAATGGATTTTTCAAGCAAAACTATAATGCGTTTAAGGAGAAATTAAATTCTGCTCTCTATATATTCTAAGTTGTTTAAATTACTGAGATATTAATTCAAAGAAAAATATTACACTTTTTCGAGGACCAATGTTGTTGATATCACTTTAGGTTGATTTGCTTGATACTCCATTGTACATAATCCGAACATAGGACTACGACAACAAAGGACAATACAACTGAAGGCCTATTGGTGATTTCTTGAAAGTCCTTGCGATCGTGTTGAAACCAAATCACCATTCATGCACGAGACAAAATAACGTTTTACCCACCTCTCTGAAGTGTATTCTCCTTGAAGGTTTGGAGCATTACGATCTGACTTCCTCCTGGTCGTCGTTCCCCTGATCGTCGTCCGACCATTCTGCTTCTTCGAGGCACCGTGGTCGTCTTGAGGAGACCACTCGTTGAATCCCTCGTCGAACAGACTAGCGATTGACGGGAACCTGGTTATAATGCAAGAAATCAGGAGTATTTTAGAGTGATGTTTCTTATGATTTATCTCTCAAGAAAGTTGTTATTCTTGTTCCTTGTTATTTCACAGTTAAGCCGTTACCATGAACTAAATTTAAATGTTCATTATAATTTATGTTAAAACAGTCGAGCTATAATAATTGGATATATTGTTGGAAACATGTATAATGGTAATTGTACAGAGCTTCTTTTGGATCGTTGAACGAAACATGTGAAGATGAAAATGGTTTAAACTACGCCAAATCAGCATCCTTTTTCTCTCAAGTTCTATTTGCGGTTTTAGCATTGCTTTATGATGATATAATTTTACTTGTGGGATCAACTTTTTCTCACAAACCTCACAGTTGTTAAAGGATGTTTCAATGGCTCATATAATAGATATACAAAGAAGATATAATATACCTTATACACGAGTCGCGTATAAATAATATGCAAATCGATAAACAAACTGAATTCAAGTTAGGCTCATTAAAAATGAAACAAAGGTTGCATGTCACTTGACCTTATTGATCGGGCACCTGTATTGGCAGTGTTTAATTATTGACTGGAGTGTATACCAGTTCACCTGAAACAAAAGGTGTAGATTTCAAGATGCCACTGTAAAAAGGCTGGTTTTCTTAATACACTTTATGGACATGTAAGTACAGGGTATTTGGGTCATTTGATGTCCCATACAGATACCAAAATGTGTTATTAAATTTATTCCACATTTTGTTGGTCTAATCTATGCCCCAAGACGCACCATGAACAGTTATGATATACATTAAACCCAAATCGTACGCGGTCGGTAACGTAGATATAGGAGTAAGGAAGTACTCTCATGAGAATGCTGAAAGTGTACATGCATTATCTAGGGCTTCAAAATAATCGCCCTAATTTAGATGATTTTGTTTAATAATTGGAAAAATATTTTCACAATCTCAGTTAAATCGACTATATGGATATGGGTCTACACAAGATTTCACATCTCTATGCATTTTTACAAATAGGCCTTTAAACAATTTTCCATGTTCCCCACATAACAATATTGTGTCGACAATAGAATATGGAGTATAAATGTAGGAAAATAGAATGGCTTCTGCTTCAGCGTACTGCTAATATTGATATTTCAGTTTATTCGACACATTTGTATTTGATTATATCATTATTTTGATATTTTATGACAGTAGATCCATTTACGTAAAAGGAAACAAACGACATAGTTATGTACATCAGACATAGAACCTTGGCCAAGCCATGAACATGAAAATCAATTTGTTTTCATAGGCTGACACACAAATATAATTCAATGCAGGTTGTAAAATTTAACGACAGCCACTAAATACTAACCTTGATCCTCTGAGTTTGCTTCCTCCCGATCTCCCCCTCGGTGGTCTTTTCGTAGAAGAAGACGACGTCGGCGGTCGCTTCGAAGTCGTCGATGTAGGCGGTTGATGAGTTGGTAGATGATGCGGTTCACATATGCAGTGGTCGTTGAGCTGCTCCAGGGGATCGGGGTCGAAATAGGGAACGAATGTACAGCTCTTGAAGCATTGGTAGACGTGCTTCCCGACTAGGGGCATGGTTACAAGCTTGATCAACGCGTCGACCTTGACAACGACGACGACACCGGTGATGATGACAATTGTGACATGGATACAACATTTGTGGTTACACCTACATTCATTGTAGGCTTAGAGTTGAGCCGATGTTCGCTTCAGAAAATCTTTGGCTCGAGTTCTGTCTCTCAAGACAACATATCAACAATAACTTCTGCTGATATTTTTTCTTCTTTTGAAAGTCGACCTTATCTGGTCCTATTGGCATATTCCGGGAGCAAGTGGAGAATCAAGTGCAGAACCATGATGTCCAGAGAATAAACACGATATTCAGGAGAAAACTTAATCGGTCGTATTTGCAAATAATGTTATCCTATACATCACGAAATGCAAGTGTTTCGAGTCGAATGTATACTATAAAGTTTCATATAGCAACGACAAAGTTTGTATATACATGACATTATTATAATAATGCATGTTTACAGTTTATGCTTCGTGTAGTTAGCCACAGTAGCTAATTACTTGTCCTTGATTGGTCACGTTAACTCGACAAAAAAATCATCTCCGTGAACACCGTCTGCTAATTACTAATCCTTTGCCGTCGATACGGTGAATATGATTGCATTTACCTTGATAGCCCTCTAAAAGCGTGAATGTACACTGTTAATATCCTCTAGCTTACCACTTAGATCTACAGTCACTGTAAACAGAAAGCAACCCACACGCACGAGTCGCTCCAATACACTGATAAAACTGCCTCGAAAATCAAACTGGCGCCACGTAAAGTTAGGCGTGCGCCGCTCAAGGTGTTGTTTAGTGCTCAGAAGAGGAGTCGATTGATTCTTCATTAACGCTGTGATTTAAAGTTAAAAGCTGCATTATTTGCTCTGCTAGAAGTCTCAGACCTGCCCACACTCAGTATTTATAATTGAGGTGGAAGCTATAGGCTATTTCTAAATGAGTTGACTTCCGAATTTCCTCATTCCATGTTTGACTTAGAAAAGGAACCAACATGTTTCCGTAGAGAATGGGCAATTTACAGATTATTGGCAAATGCAAGAATAGTAAATTCAGAGGTTGGCTACAGCTAGCATTCATGAGAATATCAGCTCTTCCTTAAAGCCAAGTGATTAGAGCAGTGGTCTTGGGTAAATGAATGCTGGGTTCGAAACATAGTGGATGTGCATGCGACATAAAACCCTCATGTACCAAATCACCTCAAGTCGTATGTCCCTTGGTTGCTTGCCGATAAAGGTATGGCTTGACTCCCTCGTGGAGATAAATTTGGTGAAATAAACATTAACACTTAAATAGATGACATGGAATCGATGGGTCCATCATCGTCGGGCTACTCCAACACAAATAGAGACATTCCAAATGCAAGATTAATTCATCGTATAAACCAAAACAGTTCTGATGCCCTTGAGTCTCAAATCAATAACAGTTGAATGCGATAATCAAAGATAATGCACCTGCCAGTCTTCCGAGAGCAATATATCAGTAATTGCCTCGCATTGTTTTGATCCATAGCTTTCAGCCAAGGGATGAAAGATCAAACGTGCAATCATAAGAAAGTTGTGACTTCCATTTCAGCGGAATAAAATTTCAAATGATAATGGATAACATGGTGTGAAACTACGTCAGCAACCTCAAGACTCAAACACAATCATTCGCTTCGGTGAATTTTCATCAAAATGCAACCTATTCAGGAAAGTGCCAGCTTTTCTTAAGTAGCGATGATGTTGTTTTCAAAAGAAGCGTCAAGCAATGATGCTTTGTAACGCTTTATTGAGGCTTTATATAATGAATTGTCTTGAAGATTTGCCGATGGGTACTTCAAGGCGTGCACCATGCAGAATGCATCCAACCAGTACATAAAAATCAATAGTTGGGACAGGGTGGTGTATCGATTTGCCACCCAATGATCAACCTTGGCCAAACTTGAAAGGCCACAACATGAATAGGGAAACAACACGAACAGCCACGTTCATTGATCGCCTAAGAAGCAGTCGACATTCCGTGAAAGGAACTTTTAATCCAAATTATCATTGCAGTTGATCACGTCTTGAATGCGGTATAGGCACATCATCATAGTAAAAACCATCAATCAGCCGGGAGGGGGTGGGAGCTACTTTTATTATCAACACAATTTGTTCCCGATGTAAAAAAAAAAAAAAAAATCATAAAAAACATCTAAAAAATAATTAAAAATCTGAAAATAATCTCGTTTGACTGCATAAGGGACGGGATAGGAAATATAATACTTTTTACTCATAACATAACTTATCAACTTCATTAAAGAGTCCACCTTGATATTTTGTTGGTTTCAATGAAAGCAGAAGAACATTAGATGAACTAATTAGTGAGAAAAACAAGTTAGTGAAAGTTTGCAATATCCTATCAAAAATAGGAATTATGCATTCTTGAAGTTGCCATCAGTGAAACACAAATTGGCAAAATAGGGACGTACCTTTCTATTTTGTCTCATATCTCTCTCCAGCTATCTCTCTCTTCCCTCTATCTCTCTCTCCCCCCCCTCTCTCTCTCTCTCTCTCTCTCTCTCTCTCTATCATCTCTCTCTCTCTCTCTTCCCTCTCTCTCTCTCTCTCTCTCTCTCTCTCTCCCCTCTCTCTCTCTCTCTATCATCTGTCTCTCTCTCATCTCTCTCTCTCTCTCTTGCTCTCTCTCTCTCTCTCTCATCCATCTCTTTCATCTCTCTCTCTCCCCTCTATCTCTCTCTCTCTCTTTATCATTCATCTCTCTCTCGGTTGTATGTCAGGTAGTCATTTTATTTCTATATCTTGCCCCTCACCCTGTCTCGTGTTACTCCACCAGCGCCCTGTTTCATATAACTTGTTATCAATAACAAGATTATGATCACTGTTATACGCTACTGAAATCCGCATATAATGATTGGCTATGAACAGATTTGCCCTATATCTGTGACAGTTGTTAATGATAAGAGGTTTTATGAAACAGGGCCCAGGAGTGGCGTTGAGCCGTCTTCATGTTAGATTTGTTCTCCCTCTTCAAGTAGGCCTACTCCAACACCCAGGTGTGACTGTCTCTAAAGTCTCCCATGAAGTATTTGTCCAGTATAATAGATTGTGTAAGAAAGTCAAAGCACTTCAAAACTTCGAGTGTTACGGGCGGCTACTTTCACCCTCAAACATGGCTAGCCGTGTATTTACATTATATCGTTGGATAGAAAACCTTATCCTCGATATATTATTATCATACACAACAATTCAGACTAAGTCTATATATTTTACAAATATGTGAACATGTGAAATATAACATAACCTGGGTCAAGTAGCTGCGATTAATCGCAATTTATTTGCGATTTATATCAATCGCATGTACAAAAGAGTCACGGGACACTGCAAACTTGCGATGGGTTGGAGGACTTGCGATTGATTCGGGTCAATCGCAACTCTTTATTAGATATGGCCCTGGTATAAGTACACGGACGAGTATAATCTCAAGAGAAAATAACATGCCTGATATAGCGACACCTCATATATCGCTGTGTTAAAAACGATTAAGTATATAACCTTCAACAGTTACAAAGATTTTACTAAAAAAAAATCAGTAAGCATTGATTATGCATTCAGATATGATAATGGGCACATCGGGTGCTTAACATTACAGTCATGCTTTTTTTTACTTCTCAAATCAATTAGTTTAGTGTAGTCACTAGTCGATCTTCTGGGTGTTCCAATGCTCTCCTCCATCGTTTCCATGGTCGTGTCTGTTTTAAACAATTTGATTTTCTTTCCGTTACGGTATATTGATATGATTTTGACTTTATTTTCACTTACTTACTGAATTGAAATCGGAGTTTTGATCCTATAATAAATTGTGTCTTTGTTAATTGTTTTCTTGTTGCTTGTATTAACCTATTAGTCCTAAATAAAACTATTGGTCCTTATATTATGCTTACCACATAGTACCACGTAAATTATAACGTAAGGGTCAAAATGAGGGCGAGGGTTGGGTTTAGTGTTAGGTTTAAGCATGGTTTTTGAGTGAGACAAACTTGTTGGAATAACTTAATCAAAGTAACATTAATTTCTTCTAGGTTATTTACAAAATACCACATCTGCGGTTGAAAAATGTCATCAAAAGTAACTATTACAAATTCACAATGTTATTGCATTATATTTTGCGATTACAATTAATTTACTTGCAATAAACGGCCGTGTAAATGAATTTGCTTAATTTCAAGGTCATTGCAAGAATAATCTCAATTGGTGCTAATTATAATTGCACACTTAGCCTCTCTCTCATCATGCTCCGAATTCCTACGTACTTCCTATTTTTTTGTTTATATATATACGCTGTCCATCAGTCCTGCGGTCCACACCGACTCACCCCAATTCGTTTGTATAATGTTGTCCATGTAGTTGATAATTCTACCCTTGTGCTCCCACACTGCGTCTTACAATTATGTTGATACCTGTTCTCTTCAGTAGTCTCCGCATACACAACACTTGTTTTGTTTTTTAATAAATTTATTCTTGTGTTAATTTGTTATAACATTATTTGTTGAGGGGTCCACACTCTATAAGCCATGCTTTTTAGTGGATCCCTCTATTTTTATTTGACATATAAATATACAGCAACATTTTTATTTTTCTTCTTGATATAAATTGTTATGATATGATTATCTTATAATTCCTTAATAACTTAATTAAGAATAATATAAATAATGTGTTTTGTTATGCAAAAAAAAAATTACATGTACACATGTATAATAACTTTTGTAAAATGTTGTTTGTAATTTATTTATTGTATATAATTTGTATTTTTCTTCTTGAAAATGCAAATAAAAACTTGAACTTGAACTTGGAAATTATTCCAACTTTATGGGCGACAGTGTTTTATGTTGGTCTCAAACAGTCCGGGAAAATTCTAAAAAAATAAAGTTAATCCGTAAAAAGGATTTTGAAATCATAATCATAATTTGAAAGAAGGTTTCCGTTATAGGCCTACATTACAAAGCTTTTTTTTTTTTTTAAAGG